GTAGCCCACGAAAGCTTATGCTCTAATAAATTTGTTAGTCTCCAAGGTGCCACAAGTACTCCTGTTCTTTTTGTGATAAATATGAGTCGTTTTTTTTTTCCCCCAAGGTCAATATGCACACAAATAATTGAAATGAGAAAGGATACTTTTTCCTCTTACATTTGTGCTTAAATACTGTCTCCGAATTTTTTCTTGGAATGGGCAGAGCTTTGTAACTTGAAATCTTTCCAAGTTACTCTTCATTTTCATAACCTGAAAGACATCAATAGGAAAAAAAGTGTACAAACTCCTGCATATGAACATTTTCTTGCTTTCAGCAAATTGAAATACCTGGAAGCTAGTACCTAGGGTTACTGTAAATATGCACAGTTAAAACAAATTGCTAGGAAGCACTTACTGTATTGAAAATATGATCTCTGTTTTAAACTTATGGAAACAAGCACTAAATGGTTATGACCAGATGGCATTCACCCAAGAGTTCTGAAAGAACTCAAATATGAAATTGCGGAACTATTAACTATGGTTTGTAACCTGTCCTTCAAATCAGCTTGCGTACCCAATGACTGGAAGATGGCTAAAGTAACGCCAATATTTAAAAAGGGCTCTAGAGGTGATCGCGGCAATTACAGACCAGTACGTCTAACGTCAATACCGGGCAAATTACTTGAAACAATAGTAAAGAATAAAATTGTCAGACACATAGAAGAACAAATTGTTGGGCAAAAGTCAACTTGGTTTCTGTAAAGGGAAATCATGTCTTACTAATCTATTAAAGTTCCTTGAAGGGATCAAACAAACATGTGGACAAGGGGGATCCAGTGGACATAGTGTACTTAGATTTCTAGAAAGCCTTTGACAAGGTACCTCACCATAGGCTCTTACGTAAATTAAGTTGTCCTGGGATAAGAGGGAAGATCCTTTCATGGATTGAGAACTGGTTAAAAGACAGGGAACAAAGGGTAGGAATAAATGGTAAATTTTCAGAACGGAGAGAGGTAACTAGTGGTGTTCCCCAAGGGTCAGTCCTAGGACCAATCCTATTCAACTTTTTCATAAATGATCTGGAGAAAGGGATAAACAGCCAGGTGGCTAAGTTTGCAGATGATACTAAACTGCTCAAGATAAGACCAAAGCAGACTGCGAAGAACTTCAAAAAGCTCTCACAAAACTGGGGCAACAAAATGGCAAATACAATTTAAAATGTGGATAAATGTAAAGTAATGCACATTGGAAAAAATAACCCCAACTATATATACACAATATGACGGGGGCTAATTTAGCTACAACTAATCAGGAAAGAGATCTTGGAGTCATCGTGGATAATTCTCTGAAGATGTCCACGCAGTGTGCAGCAGCAGTCAAAAAAGCAAACAGGATGTTAGGAATCATTAAAAAAAAGAGATGGAGAATATCTTATTGCCCTTATATTAACCCATGGTACGCCCACATTTTGAATACTGCGTACAGATGTGGTGGTCTCATCTCAAAAAAGATATACTGGCATTAGAAAAGGTTCAGAGAAGAGCAACTAAAATGAATGATTTGGAATGGGTCCCATATGAGGAGAGATTAGAGGCTGGGACTTTTCAGCTTGGAAAAGAGGAGACTAACGGGGGATATGATAGAGGTATA